TTAAGATGAAGGATGGCAATGAAGCCCATGGAGGGCTTGGGTCACCAGTCCAGCTTCTCCATGGCCCCAAGCATTTTCCTCTCCCCAGCTACACCCATCTTGGTAGAGAGGCTGAATGCTCCTCAGTCTGTGAATGGGGGAGCTCTAGGGGTACACTCTCCAGACCTCTGGCTCTAGGGTGGGCTGGAAGCCAATACATTGACTGGCTAACTTGCCTATGCCTTCCCCAGAAACAGACTCCCTGAGCTGAGGCTTGCAGTCTGAGCTGGACTCAGTCCTGGGAAAGTTTTCACCATAACCACCCCTAAACATGTATTATTTTTTTGCTCTGGTTGTTTATTAAGGCCTTTATTTAATGACTGTGTTCTTGTGGGATGAATCAACAGAAATGGGAAAGGAAAATGAGTAGGGGAAAAGAGTAGCAAGAGAGAAGACAAGGAAAACAAAGGAGAGGAGACAAAGGAACAAAAAGAGAGGGGAGGGGATGAGGAAAAGCAGATAGTTGGTTAGAAAGAAAAGCAAGAAAAAATTCTCAGAAAATGTGACTCTTGAACTAGTGAGATTATTTCTGGCAAAAGGACCCCAAGCACCACGGGGAAGAAAAAAATCTCCCATACAACGTAGGGTGGTTAATATTCAATTCCCACTATTTCCTGTTTAATGTCAAGTTAACTTTTGCTCTTATTAGTTATTTGTTTCCAAATAATTATTGTTACTGAAAGCTGTGAGTCTACCTATTCTATCTCTTTCTTTCCTTCCAATCTTAAGATAATGAGACTTCTGGTCCTTTATTGTCATAAAGCTAGAAAAGAAGAACAAACAGATGTTTGAGTGAAAGAAGAATGAGGTTTCAGGAACTCTCTGACTCCAGTCCATACTATCATCTCCTGAGCTAACAGTGCTTCTCTACTAAACTGTAACTCAAAGTTTTGTAAGTAATATACTCTTTTGCAAGAGGAAATTGTAGTTTAAATGCCTTGCATACAGCTCTCCAGTGAATGAATAACTATCAGAAATAGAACCCACTCCTCCTGATGTCTAATTCGGTGTTCTTTCCACGTCACGATGCCTAGAAATATAAAAAAAATTTTAAAAAAACTCTCCAAAGCAAATAAAACTGTTTCCTCTTCAATGTTGTAAGTCACATCATAGAAGCCTAAAGTTTAGTAAGATTAATCTTTAAAATTCTAGCTTTTAAAACACACACCTGAATGTGTAACAAATTAATCCATGTTAATGTATTTCACTAAATAGAATTTTCTTGATTTTTATATTGAATCTAAGAACCCAATAATATCCTACAATAAAACTTTTGAGCTATAAGGACCCTTAGAAAGTTTTCTTTTATTGATTTTTAAGTAAAAATGTCCCTTTTTTTATTTCTGTTAGAGAACTGCATTTCCAGAGTGCAAAGATGCTAAATGTGGCAGATTTGACTTATGACTCTCCCTTTAAACTCCTAAGCATTATTGTCTATTTTTTTTATTGTTGGGAAATCATTGAGGGTACAAAGAACCAGGTTACACTGCTTGAATTTGTTAGCTTAAGTCCCTCTTATAATTGTGTCCCACCCCCAAGAGGTGTATCACACACCATGAACCCCCATCCCCCTCTCTCTTTCTGTCTCTCTACTCCCCCATTTCCCCACCATGTGCTAGCATCAGTTGTCCTTATATCAGAATTGAGTACATTGGATTCTTGCCTCTTCATTCTTGTGATGTTTTACTAAGAAGAATATGTTTTAATTCCATCCAGTTAATACAAAAGATGTAAAGTCACCATCTTTTTTAGTGGGTGAATAGTATTCCATGGTATACATATACCATAGCTTGTTAAACCATTCCTGGATTGGTGGGCATATAGGTTGTTTCCACAATTTGGCAAATGTAAAATGAGCTGCAATAAACAATCTAGTGAAATCTTTTTTTTTTTTGGGAAACAGAGTCTCACTATATTCTTTTCATTGAGAATTTTTGCATCTATATTCATAAGTGAAATTGGTCTGAAATTCTTTTTAGTTGGGTCTTTTCCTGGTTTTGGTATCAGGGTCATGTTTGTTTTGTGGAACATGTTGGGGAAGATTCCTTCCTTTTTAATTTTTTGGAAAAATTTCTGTAGTATGGGTATAAGCTCTTCTTTGAGGGTTTGATAGAATTCTACTGTGAAGCCATCTGAACCACTTTTTGTTGGGAGTTTTTTTATTGTTTCTTCAATCTGTTCTTGAAATCAGTCTGTTTAAGAGATCTATTTCTTCTAAGTCTCAGGAGAGGATATGATTCCAGGTATTGACCCATTTCCTACACATTGTCAAATTTCTGGGCATAGAGTTTCTTATAGTACTCAAAGATAATCTCTTGCATCTCTGTGGCATCTGTTGTTATTTCCCCTTTAACATGACCAGTATAAAGTGTCCATCTTTGTCTTTCTTAACTTTAGTGGCTTTAAAGCCACTTGTATCTGAAAATAAGATTACAACCCTCCTTTCTTCTGATTTACAACCCTCCTTTCTTCTGATTTCCATTTGCTTGAAGTACTGATTTCCATTTGCTTGAAGTACTGTATCCCTTAACCCTGAGTCTTGATTTGTTCTTCAAGCTAAGTTGTGTCTCCTGGAGACAGCATTTGGATGGCCTGTGCATTTTTATCCTAACAGCCACTCTGTACCTCTTCAGTGGTGAATTGAGTCCACTGACATTTATTGAGAGAATTGATAAGTGTGGTAGAGTTCTATTCATCTTATTTTGTGAAAGGCCATTGTGTAGTTTTATCCAGTGCACGACTGTGGAAGCTAAGTTTTGACCTTTAGCTTCTAGGTGTTTACTTTGCTGGTGGTCCATTATGGTTGTCAGTGCTGAGAGTAGGTCTAAGTATTTCCTGTAGAGCTGCTCTTGTTGTGGATAATTTCCTCAGTGTTTATGTATGTGCAAAGGATTTGATTTCTCCATCAATTTTGAAGCTTAATTTAGCAGGATACAAGATTCTGGGCTGAAAATTGTTTTGTTTAAGAATGTTGAGGTGGGTGACCATGCTCTTCTGGCTCAGAGGGTTTCAGTTGAAAAGCCTGCTATTATCCTAATAGCTCTGTCTCTGTAGGTCAGTTGGTGCTTACTACTGGCTGCTTGAAAGAATTTTTTTCTTTCATCTTGACTTTGGACAGGTTCATTACAATGAGTCTTGGAGAGGCTGTTTAAGTTGAGATGACCCAGGGTTCAATATCCATCTGAAAGGAGTGTGTTGGGATTATTATTAAAACTTGGGAAGTTTTCATTTATGATAGTTTCCAATAGGGCTTCCATTCCTTAGGGACAATCTTCTTCCCCTTTAGGAATCCCTGTTATTTGTATGTTTGAACATTTCATGTAGTCTCATAGTTCTCTAAGTGTCTGTTCTGCTTTATCTTTTTTTCTGCCTCTTTAACTACCTGGGTTAACTCAAAAACTTTATCCTCTAGCTCAGACATTCTTTCTTCTCCATGGTCTAACCTATTTTAGACACTTTCTACTGCATCTTTATGTTCCCTGATTGTCTCCTTCATTTCCTTAAGCTTCGCCATATCAGTTCTATATTCTACATATCTCTCATCTGACTTTTGTTTCTGTCTTTCCATTTTCTTGTCCATTCCTTTTATTGTCTTTATCATCCATATTTTAAGTTCCCTTTCTGTCAAGTTCATTAATTCTTTATAGGTGGAGTTTTCTGCAGTAGCTGCCTCATGGTCCCTCAAGGGAGTTCCTCTGTTTTGGGTTTTCATGTTGTCTGAATTTTTCTGTTGTTTCCTCATGTGTTCTTTCTTCTTGTTCACCTCTGTGTCCTCCTATTTCCTTCTCACTGTCTCCTTTGTTTCAAACAGAAGTCCTTGCTGTTGGTGACAGGATGTTGCAATGTGTCTCTGGGACACCAGGTGGTGCTGTGGGTTTTTTTTAAGAGACAGCCCAGCCAGTAACCTTTATGGTCCTTATTCCAAACTTAGTTGTGTAGTGATGCCTAATTGTTTTACCTAATTGTTTCCTCAGCATTCAGACCCTGCCTGGTTGGGATCTTAAAGCTCACAAGACTCCTTCTGGGCAGGTCTGACAGTGCCCCCTTACGCCAGTTCCCATGGGGGGGCAGGAGTCCCTCAGCCTATCCCAAGAGTGGAGTTCTGATCCCAGTAGGCAGAATTAAGATAGCCATGCTTTAGGCCCCTGCTAAGACCTTCTCACAACATTCCCACAATGGCAGCCCCCTGGCCGCCAAGACCCCTGTATGGCTGCCTTGCCAGCCACCAAACCTATGGCATATCTACTCCAACCAGCATTCAAATCTGGTTGCTGTATACTGTTCAAGTCCACCCACTCTTCTAAGCTTTCCACTCAACATGTAGCTTCCCCCAAGAACTGAAAAGTACAGAAAGGCTTCCTCCCATCCCAGACCTCTGTGGGAGGCCAGACAAACCTAGCTGGTCGCAATCACTTGCCTAATTCATCAGAGTTACACCACTCTGAATCATACACTGTATCAAGTTCACCACCTCTTCACTGTGCTCCCTGAGCTGACTCTGGGTATGATTCCTGCACCAGGTATGGCTGGGTTCTCTTTTTTTCCCCTAGTATTCTAGGAGAGCTCAGCTGAATGATCCTTCTGATCTGCTGTCATGCTCCATTCCGTCCCCTACATGTTTTTAAAAAGTACACTGAGTCACCCTTTTATCTGTGAATAACTCTTTTCCTTTTTAATGTTATCATCTCGATTTTTGTTATACAAAATCTCACTTCACATGATCATCTTATAATAGTCCTCCCTCCCCTTTTGCCATCCAGGCTCAGTTTTTGAGGTTTGGCTTAACAGAGTAGCTCTTCCTTTGTTGAAAACACTAACTGCAAAAAAAGTCACTCAGGAAGCTCAGAAGAGTTCAAAGGTCTTTTAATAAATTTCACATATAAGCAAGACAGAATCACTCTGAGTATGGGGAAGTGGAGGGTTGAAGCTCCTCAAAGGCAGCAGATGCTAGCAGAGGAGTAGGAGGTACAAACACCTACACACGTGGACTCACACAGCTTGAAGAGGGTAGAGAGACAATATCCTGGGCTAGATAATGGTTTCTTCTTTCAGCAGTGTCTCCTTCTGTATTGAGCTCAGTTCTCCTCCCAAACTCTCCAGCTTGTCCAAATGAAGGCTCCCCTGGGTCTCATCAATATTCTGGGACACGGGCAATAAACGGCAGCTAGGGCAGGCTATTTCTTGAGAGAGGCAGATGACACCTAGGTGACAGCAAAGGTTTGGGTCAAGACAGAATGCTGAGCTCCATGCCCTGGAGGTCAGGAACTTCTGGAGTGAGTCCTTCTGGTTCTAGACCTGGCCTCCCTCCTTCTCCCCTCCAACCTAGAGTTATTACAGCCACAAAAGGAAAGACAGAATACGCCAAAGGACAAGGAATACAAATGGATGGATAAAATCACAGAGCCATGGCCAGCACTCAAAGGCATCTCTGCCACTGTCTAGCTCAATAAGTAAGAAAAACAAGGGTTTAGAGAGAAGAAGGTCCAACACAAAACCCAGGCCACTTGATGCCCAAGTTAAGATTCTCAGTAAAGGAAAGGAAAAAATAGCTGTTTTTCATAAGAACAAATGGAACTACCTTAAGTGAATGACAGTGCTGTGTGAAGGTTAAGCTAAGACAAAAGATTACTATTTTTAGCATTATCACAGATTAGATACTCTCCCACTAAAAGAAGCAAAAATTCTAAATAAAACATGCCTCTAAAAACATTTTTAAATGTATCACCAACATGGCATCAAAGTAAGATATTCTAAGATGCCAATACCAGGAAAAATAAGAATGCAGAGAGTTAAGCAAACACACAATTAAACCTTCAACTTGGCACCCAACCCAGGTAATCCTGAGTTTCCTCTGTTGGCCATTTGGGGCATAGAAAACAGGTGAAAAGGACCAGGACCTGCTCAAGATGGGGAATCCAATAAGAACCTGCCT